CTACATCCCTTCCTTGTACCTGTCCAAGAATTTGGGCCGTATATCCTGTACAAGTGTAATGATGAAATCAACGAGCGTGTCCGTGAGTCTTGTTGGGGGTGTCTAAATATAAACCATTTAGAGCCAATGGTTAGTGGATCAGACCAGTGGAACTCCCAACAGGAAGTTGGCTCATATACGTGTTTTGTAGGTATATGGATTGGATGGCTCTCTTAGAATCACTCATGCGTGTGAATACGATGACCTATCCAACACTCAGTATATTTAAAACACTGACGCAGTGTATGGATACACTGACAAACCTGTGTTTGGACACACTGACAACCTTGTGTTTGGACACACTGACAACCCTGTGTTTGGACACACTGACAACCCTGTGTATGGACACACTGACAACCCTGTGTATGGACACACTGACAACCCTGTGTATAGACACACTGACAACCATGTGTTTGGACACACTGACAACCCTGTGTTTGGAAACACTGACAACCCTGTGTTTGGAAACACTGACAACCCTCTGTTTGGACACACTGACAACCCTGTGTTTGGACACACTGACAACCCTGTGTTTGGACACACTGACAACCCTGTGTTTGGACACATAGACACAACCCTCTGTCCAATGACAACCCTGTGTATTAAGACGCACTGACGTTGCGTATCGACACACAAACAACTTTGACCATCACATAATGTTAGGGCCCACATTCTAGAGGTTGCGACATGTAAGTCTCCTTCTTCTAGCACCTACTCAGGAAAATTAGAGCACGCTACATCAATTATTCATGGACCTGGTGCTCAGTTATAGACATCTATGAATGTAAATGGTGTAGGAACGGCCCCTGACAACCTTGGTGTAGCTGGGACGCATGGGTTGGTACAGGGTGTAGCTGGGACGCATGGGTTGGTACAGGGTGTAGCTGGGACACACGGGTTGGTACAGGGTGTAGCTGGGACACACGGGTTGGTACAGGGTGTAGCTGGGACACACGGGTTGGTACATAGTGTAGCTGGGACACACGGGTTGGTACAGGGTGTAGCTGGGACACACGGGTTGGTACATAGTGTAGCTGGGACACACGGGTTGGTACAGGGTGTAGCTGGGACACACGGGTTGGTACATAGTGTAGCTGGGACACACGGGTTGGTACAGGGTGTAGCTGGGACACACGGGTTGGTACAGGGTGTAGCTGGTACACACGGGTTGGTACAGGGTGTAGCTGTGATACACGGGTTGGTACAGGGTGTAGCTGGGACACACGGGTTGGTACAGGGTGTAGCTGGTACACACGGGTTGGTACAGGGTGTAGCTGTGATACACGGGTTGGTACAGGATGTAGCTGGAACATACTGGTTGGTACATGGTGTAGCTGGTACACACGGGTTGGTACAGGGTGTAGCTGGGACACACGGGTTGGTACAGGATGTAGCTGGGACTCACGGGGTGTAGCTGGGACACACGGGGTTTAATTAACACAATGAACACGGGACTCAGAAAAAGTTTAAAAATGACCTTTGGTCAATCGCATGTTTTGTTAGGACTAACATTATGACAACTCCAGATGTTTACATTTCTCAGCTGCGCTCAGCTCTCCACTAGATGGTGTGTAATTTAAACACATCGGAACTGAGAGTTGAAGACAGTGAAACCAGCCAAGTATCGAAACTATCCTGTGTTGTATAGACGTATCGAGTGAAACCACCCAAGTATCGAAACTATCCTGTGTTGTATAGACGTATCGAGTGAAACCACCCAAGTATCGAAACTATCCTGTGTTGTATAGACGTATCGAGTGAAGCCAGCCAAGTATCGAAACTATCCTGTGTTGTATAGACGTATCGAGTGAAGCCAGCCAAGTATCGAAACTATCCTGTGTTGTGATTACGTATCGAGCGTCTAAGTTTCGTTATTACGTGTTGGCGTGTGTGAAGTGATTACTCGATCTAACCTGTACCATCTATGTGTCCATACGTTATATTGTCCATCTGTTACTGCGCTAGTTAGATCCCTTGCCGTGTGTAGACCTACTGCGTGGTTAGTTGAACGATAACCCGGGCGTGTCTGGTCACTCCTTGACACAACACTGACCGATGGCTACTCGTACTTGATGCCTTGTATACCGATTGTTTATGGTTGTCCAGACTACACAACACATTCCCGATTCAATGAAAACCCCCACACATTACCCGGGGATCGGGAAACAATGTTCATTGTTACTATGTTATCGTCAGTCGAGTGTTCAGACCGTGACGGGATAGGTTGATTGTTACAGAAAACACGTCGTAGACTTAGATTCTATTATCTGCTTCGAAAATGTGTTTTATTTACATTTAAAATAAATTCCAGTAGTATATTTAGATTTCTGTTTTGGCAGTGTTATTTAAGTGCAGATCATATACAAATCAGTCCTCACAAATTTCCTGTTTATTTCTGGTCTGTCCGCTATGGACCAGTACTTAGAGATCTAAACCAGGGGTCTCCAAACTTTTCAGCCCGAGGGCCGCATTGACTATCAAATATCAGTTCGGGGGCCAGAGTTTCTTCAAGGCATATCTTCTGTGTTATGGAGCCCCCCTCCCCGAAAAACGTCCACGCCCCGCCTCCCCCCCCCCAACAAAATATAATTTATATATAATTATAAATGTTTACAAATTTCAAGTGCCGCCGCATTTCCCTCCCCCCAGAGAAAAAAAACTGAAAGAAACACTGTCGGGGGCCGACAACACACTCGAGGTCCAAGTTTGCTATCAAATTATTCTTCACGTATTCTATATCTATGGTTGAGCCCATGTGACCTTATTATATTCACCATCTTCACCACAGGATTCAGTGCACTGCTAATGTCCATATATTTAGCACTCAAAGCTTGCTGATGAATAATACAGTGCAGGAACATTGGTTGTAGAATATTTTTCTCATTCGCTTGTCCAACCAAGACTTTCTTTATGCCACTAATGTACTTTTCCCCATCAACAGTCAGGTAACTGAGGTTAGTCCAGTCAAAGTTATTATCAGCAAATATGTTTTCTTTAGCTCATTGAATTTATCCTCTCCGGCAACAGTGCCACACATATTATGTAGGGAAGCCAGCTCTTGTTTTATGTTCATGTCTTCATCCACACCCCTAATGAACATAAACCGGGAGTGATCTCCCCTAAACTTTCTCGAATATTCTAATATAACACTACGGGGGATGGCAACTCGGGATATAGAGTTCTAGACAGGATTTTTAATCCATTTTAAATACTCAAATTTTTTAAAATAGAATATAATCTCGTAGAAAAAAGAAATGCACACCAAGTGAACGCTAAATAAAGATGTGCGTAATAGTGCGCAATATTATTAGTACTTTATAAATTTACATGTGTTTTTGAGAAATCGGAAGTAGCGTAAATTACTACTTCCGGTCAACGGAAATTACTCAAAATTTGACAGAAGGTAGAGAATTTAGATCTTCTACTTACATATCAAATTTCATTTATCTATCTGAAATAGTACTCAAGTTATAGGCTTTTGAAAAATTCAAAGTAGAAAAAGTACCACTTCCGGTTATCGGAAATCGCTCAAAAGTTGATACGGATCTACGATTTTGATAAAAAACTTATATATGAAATTTCATCAACCTAGCTGTAACGGTACTCAAGTTATCGTGTTTACACACGGACACACACACGGACAGAATTGGATAATCCAGTTTTTCCAACTCCATTACGCATAAAACGCCAAAATTTGTATATATCTGAGTTTATAATTTTTGCCCGATTAAAATAAGTCTTCTATATCCCGGATGTGATGAAGGACTGAGGAGTAAAACGGTGAAAACTGTCCAAATTTAATGTGATTTTTGTGCACGATTACAAGACTTTCTCTATACTTCGTATATACGAGAAAGTAACAAGCAGTTGAGAGGTGGAGCAGCTGTCCAGCGACTGATCCATTGCAATTAAAAAATAGTGAAACGTGCTTGCATTTTTCGCTATTTGAGTCACGATGTTTTCACCAATGTCTGCAACACGGTAGGCAAAGGTATTTGCACCCAAAGCAAAATTTTAAAATTGTTTTGAATTTTCTGGGCAAAGTTCCTCAGCCAACTCTAACAGACATTTTTTTCCGTGGACAAAAAGATCTCCGCGGGCCGGATGAGAGGACCTTGCGGGCCGCATTCGGCCCGCGGGCCGTAGTTTGGAGACCCCTGATCTAAACGGAAAGGATATCTATTTATTCCATACTTCCTTGCCAGGTATTCTCGCTAGGGAGAATCCGCTACAACGTACATGAACTGCGACCTAAATTTTCGCAGAATTTCTGTTGCTTTCTATAGCTGACCTAAATTTATTCTAAATATAGAAATAGTACTGTATGACCTCATCCAATGGGAAGGCGTGATTTATTTGTTGCACGCGCTGGGAAATTTGTCTAGTAGAATCACCACACTGCGCCGTATATTATAAGGATTTTTCCCTCTACGCCTCATTTATATCGTTTGTTTCCTATTTTGTTTCGATATGGTGTTCGGGGTGCATCCCTCGATTTCCGTATAAATAGTTTTTAATTTGATCGGCGCAGTCATTTGTCGAAGTAGATTCAAGGATATGCGTCCGTTCAAAAGTTTTAAGTTAAAATATTCGTTTTCACCGTGTGGTGCTGTAATTAGCTACTAGTCATTAAGACCATAGTATAATGACTCTATCCACGACCCCAGCCCAGCCTGACACGATGTCCACGGGAGAGACCGTGAGGTTACCGTCCAGGAGAGTTCTGCTCTCTAAGCTTAGATATTATGAAAACATTCGAAACTCGCTAGCCACAAATGGTTTTACAAAGGTAACACGTTCCTGTCATGAAAAAAATTTGTCTTCATGTTTTACATTTTGTTTAAAAATGTACTTTATACTCTTAATATTTTTTTTTTTACTTTAAAGATTATTTTTTTTCAGTGTTTGTAAATAAAATATGTATACTTGTTTATTAACAAATATTTTCTCTTTGATCCCAGGAGCCATCTGATAGTGAGGTGGATGAGGACAAGATGGGTAACTCCAACAGCAAGAAGTCCACTCCCTCTGTGTACTATGCCCCTGGATACGGGGTAAGCCTAGGATCCAGGCCTCCAACTCTGGAAGCTGAAGAAGGTATTCGTTTACGTCCACGTAAACCACACCATTCCCGCCCTAAATCACCGTCCCCTGCATCAGACAAAGACTCTGCTATTGGAGTGGGCGGCTCTGAGATGAGCCAGAGCCTGTACAGTGAGAACAGCGCCAACAGAGACTCCTTCTACTCCACCTGCACAGCGGAGAGTGGCTACGATGAATTTGGTTACCTGGAGGAGTGCCGTGGGTCCAAGCTGAGCAGCTCTCTAAAAGAAAACTTCTCCCCCGGCTCCCTGAAGGAGCGCAATCTCCAGATGCTGTACAGGGCGCACCACGGGCACGACGCTGGGCTGAACAGCATCGGCCGCAGTGCTAAACCAGGGCTGGACACACTGTCAGACTGCAGCAGTGAGAAGAGTGGCATCCTGTCCAGCAGGAGCTACCCCAGCACTGCTGACACAGACTCCAGCTACATCAACCTCAGTCTCAGATCCAATGTCGACCCCCTGGTGGAGAAGTTTGCCTCAGAGCAGGCCAGCAGGACTGGCTCCAGGCAGAGCTCTCTGGGTAAACCAGGTCTTCCCTGTCACATGACTGAGAACACAGGGGTCAACCATACTTCCTGCCAAGAGACAGACTTTACTACATTCTCTCCTAAAGTCTTATCAACAGAATCTTCACCTTGTCATAGGAACAGGGTTCCGGCCACCAGGGGGCGTTCAGCTGTCCGCGGTCACTTGCCCGGCAGGACGCAGGAGTGGTCACGTGGTGAGGATCAGGAAATGGACTACGACCCGTCACTGGACGCGTCAGAGTCTCTAAGAAGCTTCAACTCCAGCCTTGAGGAGATAGACTGGGATGCTGAGGATGACAGCAGGGACAAGATGTCCGCCCTGCCACAGTTCCAGCAGTCAGACTCAGACCTGCAGTTTAAACAGTCACTCATGCAGAGGATCCACGAGTGGTCCAGCTTTGCTGAGGAGTATAACAAATCTCGCTCACCCACCCCTGACTGTCTACCTGTTCGCTTTGTACGAAGAAGCCGCAGTCTGGACAGGCACCTGGGTGACCCCTCGTCTATCCTCATTTCTGACGCTGCTGACATAGCAGCCACAGCCAAGCCTATTGAGATTGAGCCTACCACAGAGAAAAACTTGGAGAGTTTGGAATACGAGTTGCACGATATTCAAGGAGAGTTTGAATCTATTACATCCAAACTTCATGAACTTATAGAGAACGGAAACGCTGAGCCGTCATTAACTGGCAGCAAGTCTTCCACAACACACAAACCTCATCATGCCCACAGCAAGCCGCGGGCCATAGACTCCAAGGTCCTGGGCAAGATGAGGACCAAGTGGGAGCGTGTGCCCAGCTCAGCCTGCTCAGACTCCAGCCGCAGCTCACGTGCCAGCAGTGTGGAGTACGTCTGGGACCTGGCCGACTACTCACACACAGGGGAGAGGCTCAGGTCTGACAGCCTGCTGGGGGATGGGGACATAACACTCCTGCCTGGTCAAGATGGTGCTGGACAGGTAGCCATGGAGCTTGATCACACTGGTAATTACTCTTGTTTTTTTTCTTTTGTTTTGTTTTTTTCCTCTGTTACACGTCACAACTGATATTTTTGGGATTTGTATTTTTTATTAGACAGGGTTTTTTTTGCCATATTCTTCATGGACTTTTCCCAACTTCTTTATTAGCATGACAGAAATATTATAACTGATTTTTAATCACTTATAACTTTACATTTTTAGAACTTGATATTTCATGTGGTCTTTAAGAAATACATTGATTAAATGTTTGTTGATCCTGTAGAAGTGGGTGTCACCAACATCTCCACGCCCATGTTGATAGCTGAGTATGCAGAAAAGGAGTGGAAAGGGGACACAGATAAAGCCAAGACCATGAAAGAGGTAGTTAGAAATAATTAATCAACCATACCATTATTTACCTGTTATTCCATACAAAATAAGGCTTTGTTAAAATCCATTAATTAGAATTCAGTCCATAGTAAATCAAGGAATAAAACTATAACTGATTTTCTTTCTGTGATAGGGCTACAAGCAGATAACTCCTGTGTTATCCCAGCATAGGCTGTGTGTTATAAGGGGAGACAACTACTGTGCACTGCGGAGTGTGCTGTTCCAGGTGTTGGTCAATGGTGAACGTGTGACACAGCGCTGGTCAGGCATCATCGGCATCATGGACAGCTTACACGACCTTTACAGTGACCCTTCCATCAACTTCCCCTCCTGGACGTTTGCTAACAGACTGCCCGGCCACTGTAAGGACAGGCTGGCGTCTCTGTCCAAGTGTGCGCTCTCCCTCTATGCAACAGTAAGTTTAACTTTCTCCCTCTATGCAACAGTAAGTTTAACTTTCTCCCTCTATGCAACAGTAAGTTTAACTTTCTCCCTCTATGCAACAGTAAGTTTAACTTTCTCCCTCTATGCAACAGTAAGTTTAATTGTCTCCCTCTATGCAACAGTAAGTTTAACTTTCTCTCTCTATGCAACAGTAAGTTTAACTTTCTCCCTCTATGCAACAGTAAGTTTAACTTTCTCCCTCTATGCAACAGTAAGTTTAACTTTTCCAGCAAAATTTTACTTTTATTACCAACTGTTTTTGGTTGTTTAATGCCAGGAGTGGTGAAAACTGATCTGTTGGTTTTAATTTAAACTTACAGATTGAAGAAGTCTGTAACTTACCTTCCCGTGAAGAGCGTGAAAAACGAACAATCTGTTTGCTAAATACAAATGCCACATTTGACCTTGAACTGATGGAAGGACTGAAGATCATGATGCTTCTGAACTTGGTGAACTTGAGGTGTCAGATGGACGATGGGGAGGACGTGCCCATCTTTTCACACCTGCTTTTTGCCAGGGACACTTCAGAGACTGTCTCCGACTTCTTGAAAAACCATTTAAATACTGTGGGAGATAGTGGAGGCTTGGAGCAGGTCTGTCTCACCACTACTTGTAGAATATTTGATTCAGTTTGTTACGTTTGGATTGTTCATTTGTATCTTTTTGATTGTTTGATTGATTCAATGTGTGTTTAACTGTTTGATTGTGTTTTGTTTGATTCAGTGTGTTTAACTGTTTGTGTTTTGTTTGATTGATTCAATGTGTGTTTAACTGCTTGATTGTGTTTAGTTTTATTGATTCAATGTGTGTTTAACTGTTTGATTGTGTTTTATTTGATTGATTCACTGTGTGTTTAACTGTTTGATTGTGTTTTGTTTGATTGATTCAATGCGTGTTTAACTGTTTGATTGTGTTTTGTTTGATTGATTCAATGTGTTTAACTGTTTGTGTTATGTTTGATTCAATGTGTGTTTAACTGTTTGATTGTGTTTAGTTTGATTGATTCAATGTGTTTAACTGTTTAATTGTGCTTTGTTTAATTGATTCAATGTGTGTTTAACTATTTGATTGTTTTGTTTGATTCAATGTGTGTTTAACTGTTTGTGTTTTGTTTGTTTGATCCAATGTGTGTTTAACTGTTTGTGTTTTGGTTGTTTGATTCAATGTGTGTTTAACTGTTTGTGTTTTGTTTGATTGATTCAATGTGTGTTTAACCATTTGATTGTGTTATGTTTGAAGGTGGAGATGTGTTTGCTGGGCTACACATTGGGAGTGAGGATCAGAGTGCTGCGGCTCGCCCAGTGTGGTCAGCAGGACTTTGACTGCATGTTCCCAGATGATGTCCCTGCTGACTGGCCAGAAGTGGACTTGATAGCAGAAGATGACCGCCATTACAATGTGCCTCTCCCTTGACTGAGTGAAGAACTGTTATACAACTGCTGAGTCGACACGTTTTTCATATCAGAATATTTTTTTTCACCTCAGTCATATCTCATGTGATCTGTGAAATCACTTGGTAGATGGTCATCTTATCAGCTGCTTCTCCAAGTGAAGACTGTATGGTTGTGCCAGAGATTCCAGCATTTTGTACTCAAATGTTTTGACTGCATGGATACCCATGTTTAGACTCCAGGGATTCCCATGTTTTGACTGCATGGATACCCATGTTTAGACTCCAGGGATTCCCATGTTTTGACTGCATGGATACCCATGTTTAGACTCCAGGGATTCCCATGTTTTGACTGCATGGATACCCATGTTTAGACTCCAGGGATTCCCATGTTTTGACTGCATGGATACCCATGTTTAGGCTTCAGGGATTCCCATGTTTTGACTGCATGGATACCCATGTTTAGACTCCAGGGATTCCCATGTTTTGACTGCATGGATTCCCATGTTTAGACTGCATTATTTAGGCTCAGGGCTCTGCAAGCTACCTGGTACACCCTCACACACACCTATGCAGTCAGCAGAGTTCACTCACAACCTTCACCTTGTTAAGCTGAGACAACTCTGTTCAACCCAATCAAACATCTGCATTTATCTGCTCTTGTATAATTTGTATAGTAAAGTCAAACTAATTTTCTGCTGACCAGAAATAATGTAGGCATTTATGATGTGAGTACATCAATGTCTGGATATGTTACTCGTATTATGTATATAAATAGATATAAATAGAATACTGGATGTGTCTGCAACATCTCACACACTTTGTTGTTGTTTCTATCAATACAAAACTGCTTAGTATGTTGATGAATGAAAAATAAATGCAATAAATTTGTGACAACTAAGTCAGCATGTTAGCTCTGGTCACTGGGGCGCAGTGATTTCATAAGGGGACAGAACTAATGAAATGTACACATCAAAATTATTTGTTTCATGCAATCAATGTTTGGTGTGTAAATAATTTTTCTGTGTGAAACCAGTGTTCCATGTTTAGATGTTATATGTTTCTGGTGAAACCATAGCGGTATTCTTGTCATCAAACAGACACCAAACTGGTGAATGCTAAATTATTGCCATATTGAAACAACCCTCACAGTATCTTCTAATGTTGCAATGTTAGTAAGCTCCCTTTTTCTCTGATACAAGGCTAGGATTTAGCTTTTACTACTAAAATGGAAGTGCTGAAATTTTAAAATAGCTTGTACTGTCAATTTCATTTATTTAATTATTATAAAAAATGTTTGATATGTTGTGTGATAGAATTTAATAAATTTAAAACCAAATTTTATACCAACTAAACCCCCCATAAAACAGGACATAACAGGTTATAAAATTTCAGCAGTTCTGTTTCTATATTAAAGGCTAATTCCTTTTGCTTGAATTAGTTAAGGGAGATATTTCCCTTAGTTGAGGGAGAAAATTTGTCCCTTAGTTACCCAACACGCCTCAGTATGTAGATATGTACCATAAATTTAGTCTATGCATGTGACTCTCAGAGCTGGTGGGGGTCTAATTATTTTTGTAAATAAATATTTTTTTTTTCTAATTACGGATCACCGTATTAATCAAATTGAGAAACTTGGCCCTATTTTGATTATGGTGGCCATTGAGAAAGTCACCTGCATAGCTAGACCAACTCTCATCTGTGATATGAACTGTATCTTTAGTCCTGTCCTACCCCACTGTATTCCAGGTGCTTTCATTCAAACCAGGACTTTTGTTTACTCTTGGCCTTCATCATTTGTTGCTTCGTCTTCAGTTTTTCTTCTCTTTGGACTTGATGCTTCAGGTCTATAATAGCTGCAGGTTAATCTACCACGTTTTATTGACAAGTTGAAGAAGTTTTAGAGTAATTAAACCAGTTAGTAGCTGATTGACATTTGACTACGTTATTAACTGTAGTCTTTAAGTTCTCTCATGCAGATTTCAGCCCTGGCCTATACCATGCCTCCATCCTCTTCTATGAAGACCTGAAGCATCTGGCCCAAGTTGGGATGTTACTGCACTTGTGCCCAGATATTGTTGTTGAGTATATGTGCATTTAATACTTGAAGCTGTTCCTGTTACTGCAAATCACCTCGATGCTGTTTTCACCAATCTGATTTTTTTTTCACGCTACTCACCACTATACAACACTTATTAAGTTGTTGCTTATTTAAATCTCTGAATTGGATTTTGTTTTGACTAGTCTTGTTATATTTATTTATTTGCTTTTTAGATCTTATTTTAAGATTAAATATAGTTTGTTGTTGTTGTTGTTTATTATATCATGGGCTCTTAACCACAAATAATTGGACCAAAAGTTTATCAAATTTTTTATTAAGGATTAAAGGTGTAGATCCAATCAAGGTTAAGGACCCTAGATGTTGTATTGATGGCATAATGGGCATAGACTAGATTATTGTACTCCGGTATTTTATCTTTGTGATTGTAAGTGGCTTCAATGTTTGGAGTGGCTGATTTTTATTTTATTTATATTTGTTTTCTTATTTTTTTCGTTTTATTGTCAACTACCAAAATTGAAACACTTGACTTTAAATTACTGAATTTTTGGAGTTTGGACACAAGGTTACTGTATTTAAACACTAGTTTTTAAGATGACTTAAAAACTTCTTGTGTTCTATTTTAATTTGCCCATTGGTTCTCCTTGACATTTCGACCTTTCGATGTAGTCAAGGTCACATTAAACTGCCATTTGTTTGAGTTTATGTATAGAAGCTGTTGTTATTTAATTTCTAAATATATTCCATTAAAATAATTTACAAACCATAACAATGTACACTTAAGATGTGCTTTTATCTAGGTTAAATTTTTATTTTCAAATATTTATTACAAGTAGGCCTATTGATTTACACAGGATAGGGTTCACATATCTTTGTTTGCAGAATACATTCATGAGCTTTTTTTATTGAGTTAGTTGAGTAACTAGTGTTTGGTAACTAAACAGAAGTTTGAACTTATCTCCACATACAGCTTGAATTCACCTCTCATTTGACCAGGTCGCATTGACCTTGCTTCATGTTTGTTTACATGTTGGTGGGAATTTTTTTATCTTTTTATTTAACCTGGGTACTTTATTCAAGAACGGAAAATTGGTTCTGTAGTGGATAGTGCATCCTTTTATTTATATCAGGGATTTAGGTATGCAAGATTTCATTTTTTTTAACGTTCTAGCAGGTGGTTAACACACACCAAAGGGATTTAGCTTTTCAGATTTTGTTTCGTATCTCCTAAATTTTAAACAACTTTTGCACTGGTTTCATATTTGTGTGTGATATAAATATAGCCGTAGGACAAGCAGAAGCCAAATTGTAGATGGAGAATTGATAGCTGTCTCCAGGCTATGTAGTACAATCTGTAGAGCTGTATAGGGAAGTGGATGTGACACGGATATATGGTGGATGTGGTGTGGATTTAGGGTGGATGTGGTGTGGAGATAGGGTGGATGTCAGGTTTAGTGGTGCTGTGTGGATGTCAACATAGTGGGATTATATGGTTTTGTAATTTTTATTATTAATTGGTTATCATATCAAAGTAAATTCAGTAGCTATGTCACTGTTTTTATAACTAGTTTTAATTAATTAAAGTAGGCCCCTATTTGTCAACTTCAAATTGTATACATTTTTATTTTTAAATGAAATATTGATCTTTTAAATAGGCCAAGATATTTTGAAATTTATATATTTTTATTATTTTTAAAATAGTTTTTTCTACATTCAGAATGCTACTTTGTATAAAATAGCCGCAGTACTGTATGTAAGACAGAGGTTCTAAAATGTGTAAATATGTGCCCTATGTGTAAAGTGTGAATACAAAACCTGAACTTCTGATGTGAGAATGACAAATGTCTAGCTCCCCCGAGTCATGTAAGAAAAATAAATACTTGATTTCTTGACAACAATAATTTTGTTTTCAATTATAAAGTGTTGTTTTTTTAATGTGTATTTTGTAAACAAAATCTGTCATTTGTCTAATTTTGAATCATCTCTATTAAAATTTTCATTTTATCGGAGAACTTAAGTGTATATCCAGTTCCAGTGCATTATTTAAGTTTAGTTTAAATAAGAGTTAGTAATTATAATTTGATGTTTATATTTTGTATACAATAACATAGGAAAGATAACTGGGTGCTTTTGATCCACGCAGTTTACGATAATAAAAGGGAGATATGTTTATGAAAGTAAATCTACATACTAAATCTTTTAAGTTTCGACATCATAAGATCTGCCATTTTACCCTTATCTGATCGGGTTTAACTTGGAGAAACAGAGGTGTGTGTACGATGTTGTTTTAATTGTGATACGGAAAGGGGAGGTAAAAATAAGCATGAAGTAGTTAATGGGCGCAACCTTGAGTCCGGGGCCCATGAAGTGTCATGGCGCTCAAGGCCATTACACATGAAAACATGGGATGCGCGCGCAGCTGGTTGGGTCCGCATCTGTTGTTTTGATGGTCAAAAGTTGAACCACTGCGCTCTCAACCCGCGTGACTGGCTAGTCAATACTTGACCTCTGACCTCACTAGAGCGTGCGCCGTCTGACTAAAATGGATAGCTGACCTTATCACGGGCCCGTTAACCCTTTATCTACTGACGGTACTTATAAGTACCACTTTAATTAAGTGCCATTATTATTTTTAATTTAATACGAATTTTAAAAAATTATTGATGTAATTTATAGTATTATCTCCCCTGAGTCACCGGTGGTTGGAGGGATCGATGTATTTTGAAAATTTTTGGTGTGGCGCCAATTTCAATGTCTTGCTATATCGGTAGTTTAAAATTGTTCTGTAACGTTCTCACACACGTTCCTGATTTCCCTTTGTTTTACCTTATTCTTGAAGTTTTCATCCCCAAATATTTTTTATTGGCATCTCCAATAGTCAGGCAAACGTGTTCAACTTCTAGTTATACAATTTTAATCAAATTGTCTTTGTATTAGATCGATGTTTACAAGTGGACTTATAAGTACCGTCAGGGCACATGGTCATTTTTTTAGGATTTTTAGGAAATGGCAGATTTTTTATGTGGAGTGACATAAATCTTTTTTTGATAATTAATTATCGAAATGTACTCAAAAAATGATATTTATACATTTCTAAGAAGGTTAGCATATGGTTTACCTAAGAAATATTGTAATTACATGTTGATTTCTAGTAGTAAAAGAATAACAAGAATAAAGGTAGCAGTTGCAGGCTCGTTTACTAGGTTTAGTATACTTTATTTGTATGCCAAAGCCTAGTTCTAGTAGTAAGATTTAATTTGTTAGTTATATTTACTGGAATAAACTGTTGTGCCTGCAATAACTAGTATTTACGTAATGTATACCTGTAGACTAGTAATAGTCCTTACTAAAGACTTCTGCATATAGTATAGATCTATATGGTAAATTTTAATCCATAAACAGGAAACAGTAGGCCACTTCGACTATCCTAAACACATTGAGCTCACTTCTATTTATGAACTTTACACTGCAGTGTAGACTTGTCATAACATTCTAGTAGGCCACAATTATACTAGTATTACTAGTGGTGGTGTACCGAATGACTAGGCTTTTGTTTGTTTATGCGGCTCATTGTAAGTAATAGCTATTGGAAGCTTCCAGCAAAAGCATGTACAGTCCGGCAACCGTTGCTACACCAGAATGACCACAGACAAGAATGAGGGAGCATGACATGTCGGCAACTTTTGCTGTGTTTGAGGTCTAGGATGTGTTCCGATATAAAATCCAATAAAAATCGTACTCAAGATATACCTTGTGCTGTATTTATATGTGAAAATTACAAAAAATGACTGTTATAATGATTGTCATGTTATTAGTTAATAAATTTTATCGTTTGTTCCTGTTTTGTAAAAAAAAATTTTTTTGGAAAAAATGTCCTACATTCCTGACGGTACTTATAAGTACCAATATCTGATTGGGCCATTAAAAATTATTTAAACTAAATTTCCTTTGACATATGCTTTAAATGTGCCAAAAGCAATGTGATAACACATTGTTTAAGAAAAAATTTCATTCAGAACCTAATTCCGTAAATAAAGGGTTAAAGTGTCGGTGCGGGGTAGGCTACTACATCTGGTACTATATGAGTTGAGTGATCCGTGCCAGGCCGGTCGTCCATCTCGTTACACACGTGTGCTGACCGCCGTCCTTCACCCCTCTCCCTGGTCCGGCCGGAGCACTGCAGGGTGTTGATCAACAAGATCGCCATATTTATCTCCCCACGTGTGGTGTAATGATCGACATATCCCCCCCACGTGTGTGGTGTAATGATCCCCATATCTCCCCTACATGTGTGGTGTAATGATCGCCATATGTCCCCCACGTGTGTGGTGTAATGATCGCCATATGTCCCCCACGTGTGTGGTGTAATGATCGCCATATCTCCCCCACGTGTGTGGTGTAATGATCGCCATATGTCCCCCACGTGTGTGGTGTAATGATCGCCATATGTCCCCCACGTGTGTGGTGTAATGATCGCCATATCTCCCCCACATCTGTGGTGTAATGATCGCCATACAAGATCACACGTCTAAGGCATTAAGATCGCCATATTTATCTCCCCTACATGTGTGGTGTAATGATCGCCATATCTCCCCCACGTGTGTGGTGTAATGATCGCCATATCTCCCCCACATCTGTGGTGTAATGATCTCCCCCACATGTGTGGTGTAATGATCGCCATATGTCCCCCACGTGTGTGGTGTACTGATCGCCATATCTCCCCTCATTTGTGGTGTAATGATCGCCATATTTCCCCATGAAATAAATTACAAATATAACGCCAATTGTGTGATAAATTCCGATCTGTGTCGGCCTGAATTAAAAGCTCATTAAAGAGTGTTGAGAGACGATACAGCCGATAAAAAGAGCCTAAGATGATAAAATGGAAGAACCAACAGGTAAATGAAGACAGCCCTCTAAAGACGCA